GGGCTCGTCATTTGATCTGTATGGGTGAGAGTGGCCCGAAACGTCGACTCAATATTCCTACTATTTTGAGGACGAGATCGAGTGGGGAGCTGAGAACATAACTTCACAAGATAGAATTCACTCATCCCCGACTTTACGAAGTAGATGAGTGTTTTCTTAAATGCTGACTCCGGGACTTGAACAAAGGGCCCCACCCTCTCACTGATTCGAGAGGGACTTCCGGTTATTGATCGGACCATAACCGGGTTGTGCATTAGAGAAGCAGTGGTATTTAAGGAGCAAGATGTAACACAGGGGTAAAACGGTAATTTGACCCATCTGTGGTTACGAACACTCGATCCGTTTTCTATTTTCCACTGCGGGATTCACATCTTATCACACCTTCCCTATACTCAATCGACTAATGAACAAAAAATCTATTTTTCACAGACTATTTTTATTTTTAGGTAATCAATCACACCTCGTGGATGGTTGGTGGCGACTTTGAACCCTTATCTCAAAAGAGATCCTTTAGGGAATGACATGGCTGCTCCGCGTTGCGATGAGGTTGGGACACCTATTGATTCTTTAGACCTTGTGGCAGTCAAGCATTCATAGCAACGTTGCTTTTTTATCCTTCGATGTCGGCTCTTCATTTTGAAGCAGAATTCACCAAGTGTTGGATTGTGTATACCCACCAATAGGGAACGTGAGCTGGGTTTAGACCATCGTGAGACAGGTTAGTTTTACTTTACTGATGATAGTGTCGTGATAGTAATTCAACAAGTACAAGAGGAACCATTAATTCTCACAATTGGTCATCGCACTTTATTGAAAAGCCAATGGTGCGAAGCTACCTTGTGCTAGATTATGATTGAACGCCTCTAAGTCATAATTGACACAAAACCAAATATATCCCATTGTGTTTCAACGTTATCCTCTCTACCACGAAGCTTTTGCAGCACCTTTTCTTCTTCATGAGATTTGGTTCCATTTTACTCAACAGAAAACACATTCATGCAAGTGGGAAGAAACCTTTACGGCAAGCCTCTAGAGAACGCAACCCTTGACCAGGGGACTCTATCTTGGGGTCTTTGGCTTTACTCATTTAGGGCTTGGCTCAGAAAGGCTTCGATGTTTTGATCTTTCTTCTTGTTTTCGCCGTCCCACGACGGCTATTAGGTCACCTATTTTAAGTTATAAACTTAAATAAGATGCATAATCAAACATAATTCCTTGAAATTTTCATAATTTTCAATAACTAGACCATTTTTCACAAAACATGAGTCATTCTCGAGTTTTTGGGCTAACATACCATTTTCCCAAGGCTACTTAGATATATATCACTTGTTGAGAATTGGATAAAAAAAAGGAAAAAAAAGGAGGAATGATAGTTATTGGGACAATAAAAGGAGAGGCTCAATTACACCTGTGTTGCCCTTATTTTTGTTTAATATATATACGGTTGTTTTTGCTTCCACCCTGTGGAACAAAAAGGGTTTATAGCAGCACCTAATTTTGGGGTTTTTGGCAGCTAATTTGAGACAACTGCTTGGAGTATTTGACAGAGGTTTGGACAAATCAAGATCGTCTTTATTGGGGTAATTGTATCTTGATCATATTATGAGTTTTCTCATTCTGTACTTAAGTAATTGTGTTAGATTACTTAAAAGCTATGGGGCTTTTGTTGGGATCTATAGGGGATATTTTTTGGGAGAGTTTATTGTAATTCAATTCTTGACAATATTAGTGAATTACCCACATTTGGGTGGAAGACTGAACGTAGCTCTTAGTTGATAAACCAGTATAATTTTATTGTGTCGTATTGTTGTGTTTTTACAGTTTCTTCCTTATTTACATATTATGGTGTGTGTTTGGATATTCCCGTGGAAGAGGAAATTATTCAAGGCCATCAATTTGAGTTTTTGGGCTGTATAGCCCTTTTCGCAAGGGAGGATTGATTTTTACCCACTTCTTTCAAAACATAAGTTTTCTAAACTATGTTGACATCACCCTAGATATCAAATGACCATCATTGCCCCCACTAATTTTTTAGATTTCCCTCATTTTTCTTTAAAACAATGCATTTTCTCCTTCTTACAATTTGAAAACTTTATTGTCCTCTCTTCCTAATACAACTCCCTGAAAAATCTCTCTATATTCTTCTTTTTCTACCCATTTTTCAACTTCTTCTCTCTCATTGACTCTCCCTATTTTTGTTTTATGTTGTTCATAAAAACGTTCAAATCTCGACAAAAAGTGGTTTCTGGGTTTTCTTCCAACTTCTGCGAAATTGTGGGTGCTGTCGAGTCTTCCACTGTGAGCGAAAGAAATCAGAACCAAAACTAAAAAGATCCAAGTCATAGATTGAGATCTAATAGAGAGCGAGTGCGAGAGTGAGATATGAGCGAAAACGAGAAGGAGAACAAGATCTGAGAGATTTGAGCGAGAGTGGGAGCGAGATCTAACCAAGAACGCTGACCTTGAATGAGATCTGAGAGATGTGTGCAAGAACGAGATCTGAGAGAGAGCAAGAGCAAGATCTAACCAAGAACGTTGGGCGAGAGTGAGAACGCTGGGCGATAGTGAGATATGAGCCAGAACACTGAGCGAGAGCGATATCGAGAGAGATTTGATCGAGAGCGATAGTAAGATTGAGATCTGACCTAGAGTGAGAGATAGAGAGATCGACACCTATTCTTGTTGTGGGCCAAAAGAAGTCGGCCGGCAGCGTGAGCCCATCAGAGATTGAAGTCGTTGGAGAAAGATTTGTCATTCTGTTCAGCTCTGTTGAAAAGGAGACCTTTCATTTCCTTTTTGACTTTTTTTTTCTTTTTTCTTTTTTCTTCTTACCATAACTGCTTCATAAAT